TGTAGTTTTCTGGCTGATTGTCTGAGGAGCAAACAAATACCAGTTACTCTCTTGTGTATTAGTTAACACTTAGTACACAAGAGCCCGACTGATATACTGGCAGGGCTGATATACTAGTATCAGCATTTATAATTCAATAATAATATAGTCAATAATTTAAATTAAAAAAAATGTTAAAGAAAATGGATGGATAGACACAAAGACTTTGTAGAAACACCCTTCAAAAACGTTTGTCCACCAGAGGGCACTCTGCGACTCTCTTGCAACACTACAAAAACAATCAGCTGATCTGAGCAGAGAAGGGCAGAGCATAAACAAGTAATCCACAACTTGTTGAAATAGTAAACCAGGATTATTTTTAAACTGCATTGTCAGGCTTCTGTTTATGTTTCATGTGTCTGAAAGAAAAAAATATCGGCCGATGTATTGGATTTCTACCAAATCCTGTGTCGGTCAGGCTCTAATGAATGTATAATTCTGATTCACTAAAAGGGAAAATACACACAGAACCTGCTGACCATGAGCCCATATTTTTTTAAATGTCTATTTTAAGTTGCTTTGTATGTTCCACTCTAAAACAAAAAGAAAAAGAACTTTTACTCATATAGTAAAGCAAAGCTTAAACTGACATCCAGCAGTAGGGGCAGTCTGGTTACTCGCTGCATGGGAAGGATGAGAAAGGAGAGCATGGGGAGACCTCTGCATTCACTGTTCATTTCGATTTTCTTCAGGGTCTCCTTGAACGCACTGTTACTTGACCTAAGAGATGCAGAAAGACACGTTCAGCTCATTTAGCCATGTTACTGGAGAAACTCAATAGCTTGCTTGTTCTTCTACTCACAATAACTTCTGCAGGGTCCTCTGCTGAAAGGTCTCGTTGGAGCAGTAGCTAATGTACGGCTCAAAGTGTTTAGCAGCGTGGGTCTGAACAATGTCGCTAATGTCGATCACTGGGTTGTCAGAGTGACGTTGTTCAAGGTCCTCAAAAAACCTGAGGGAGAGTTCAGTAACAATTTAAAAGATATGTTATTTCTGCCACCTCTGTAGAACATATACAGAGGGTGTTCAGGCTGAACTGACTGTGACCACTGAACAGTTTACATTTCTGATATGTACTACAAATCAATCAATGCACAGATGAAATTACTCTTCTGATTTTACAGTACTGTGCCAAAATCTTGAGTCAACCCCTACTTTCATATTTCTCTAACTCCAATGAGCCAAACTTCTTTTTTTAAGTGGCCTTGAGAAGTAGTTAAATAGTTAATGCACCCCCCCACCCCCTCAACACTGACCAATGATTTATTCAAGCACAAAAAAAAAAATCACCTAATTCAAGGGTAGTACCAGTGTTTTATCCACACATAACAGACTACTTAGCAAAGAACCCATTTTAAACTGATTGGGCACTTTGTTACTAGGAGCCTGTTGCAAAAACACAAACTAAAACCCAGTTTTTACCATTTCTTTAGTTGAAGCAATGAAAAATACTGTGATGACACTGTTTGACAGAGATAAAAAACATTTCCCCAACAGTGCAATTAGGGAAAAATTAGATTAGCTGTGATTGTCAAGCTATTAGCTTGATGGAATTATGAACACAAAAGAATGCCATCAGATTTTGATCCACCATGCAATACTATTTGGAAAGCATCTGATCAGCAACAACTTCATTTTTCAGCATGACAATGATCTCAAACACACTGCCAGTGGAGTAAAAGCACATCTAGACAGACAAACCCACAATGAAACTTGGTCTTGGATTGGACAGAGGGAGTGTGGGATCATTTTGACAGAGAACGGAGCGAAAGGCAGCCAACATACAATTAATAGCTTTAAACATCCTTCAAGAAGCCTGGCGAAATATTCCTGAACACTACTTAAAGAAATGAGAAGAAGAGAGTTCAGGTTATGTTGAAAAACTAAGGTGGCCATACTCAAGCTTTCCTTTCTAGCACATTAGAGTACAAACGGTTTTTGCCGTGTATAATGTATTTCCATGTGTGCACATGTTTCAGGAAAGAACTGCACAAACGTCTAACTTTTCCAACAAAATAAGAAAGAAGTGGCTCAAGACTTTTGCACAGAACTGTATATTAGTAAAAGAAAAAAAACTATGACTTTGACACAACAATCTAAAATCAAAAAGGACCTTTAAGTTACATCAAAGTATTTGGGATATAACTTCTATCACTGATCACAGAAATAGTTTGTGGCAATGTTAAGCAACTTTAGTAACAGGAAGAAACATCTTTTGACCTTTGCCTCAC